TTGTAAATTTTTTCTTCCAGCCTGTAATTTGTCACTCCACCCTCTTTATAGCATTTGTCTGTTGGAGCCTGAGGAGACCGCGCACCGCAGAGGGTTGTGGGAAATGTAGTCCGGGCCCTTCAGAGGCGCGCACTTCCGTTTCGGGCCAGCACCGCAGGGCGGTTTCTTAAGTTCTGGGAGTTTAGGTGGAGACGTGAGTCTGTCTCCCTGTGTTATGGCGGGGTGGGGGTGGTCTTTGTCTCTCAGGGACAGTCTGGTCTCTAGCAGTTGGGGGAAGAGGCGGCCTGTGCGGGAAGGTCGGAGCCAGGCGGTTTCGACGAGCGAGGGCTGAGGAAGAAGCGTTGGAAGAGGCGGCACTCGGACCCCACACTTGGAAAGGGCACTTTGAGGTCGCTCTGCACCTCCGCTTTGAGACCGGCGTCTCCCAATTAGGAGACTCAGAGCCCAACAGTGGGGTGTTGATGCTGCCTTCCGTTCTTTCAGGGGGGCACAAGTTGATTTCTGCTTTTCGAAGTTATTATGCCTTGTTCATGTTATAGGCGATGCTTGGCCCGTCTGGTTGCTGGCTCTGGTGTTTGTAGTTCAGTGCAGCGCTCAGGTTGGATTCCGCTATCAATCGGGGAGAGCCCAGCTCAGAATTCAGATCTTGAGACTTGATTCTCATTCTCTCCCGAAAGTCTCAGTGAGTGCAGTCCTGTAGGCAGTGCAGTGTCATGGACCTTTCTCTCTGGGTCTTGTAGGGCCCTTGAAAGTAGTAGTAGGGACAGATTATAGGAAGGGGTAGATTACATCCATCTAGCACCTGAGATTTCCCCCTGTGCTGGGAATTGTGATTAAATCATCTTACGGTTCATTTTTGTTCCACAGCGTGTCTTCTTGGGACTGTTCCCAGAGAACTGCATTGAGGAGGAAGAAATAGCCATTGGACTCTTGATATTAGAGCTCTAAGTGAGTAGAACTGTAGTTTCTTGTTGTTTTGTGGCAATGCCAGCTCTTGCCAAATGGTAACCAGCTTTCCTGACCTCATTCTTCATCCCATGGTTTTTGCAAAAGCCCTTCTAAGCCCCTTGGTTGCTTTCCCCCCAGAAGTGGGTTTCTTCTAAGGGTGGAGAAATTTCCAGCATCTGTGTTTAGTGTATTCTCTCCATGGCTCCTTCTGGTGGTTCATTTGATCAGTAAGTCACTCATGGTTACTTTCAGGGTTGTGTTAGGGAAGAAGTGATGACAGTGACCGCAGTGGTATGCATTAGCTGAGGGCTTATTATGTGCCAGGTATTATGCTAAGGCTGTCACTGCTGTACCCCTTGTTTCTAGAACAGCCTATAGCATATAGTAGACCATTAGTAAATGTTTGAATGAATACATACATATCTGTTTAATTTGCTGAGCAGCTTTGTAAGTTAAGCATCCTTAGGCTCATGTGACAGATGAGAATGCCGAAGCTTACAAAATGATAAGAAACTTAGTATGACCTGAACAGAAATCAGGGGGTTTGCATTTGCACTTCCTTCTGTATGCATCTCATCTCATATCTTTGCACAGCTGATTTATTTTCATGCAGTCTTAGAGTCCACCTTTGACACCTGATTTAATGTTCCCTTTCTCATCCTGCCACCTATGTTCCATCTGACAGAATATACATTCTGATCAGTAAACAGGAGTCAATCATGTTCATTTTGTTTTCTTTATTACTCCTTTTTTGATCAAAGGTGTCCTTACCTGCAGACTCATTTCTCGATAGCTGCCTGCACTGATGAGATGAGCTGGATTCAAAAGAGTTGGCTGCAACATTAAGCTAAGAAAACATCAAGAAACCACGCAACACATGGACATGAGTTTCTCAGATTAAGGGCAGGATGGCTCTGCAACCTTAAGGCGTCAGCTTTCATGCTGGACAGCGCTAGAAAGAGAGCGTGCACCTGGAATCTTTATTTTTATAGGAGGGACACACACAAAGGAGCTTAGATGGAGTGTTCTTCACCCAATAAGGCAGGGGATAATGTTTCAGAGGTGGAGTCTTGCTTTGTGATGTCTTGTGGTCAGCAGATTGATTGACATCTTGGCAAGTCACACCCATCTCAGGTGCTGTGTGGGATCACAGGCAGAGGGAGAGGAAAGGCGCAATTGTATTGCACAGCTGAATCGGCGTGCAATGCCAGACCTGTCCCCTCATATAGCTCTAATGCACATAGCTCACACACACAATCCATGGATGGCTCGCGACTCTCATTAACAGAATACAAGCACCATGAATGCTATTACTGTATACATCTTATTTAACTATCCTATTCATCTTATTTACTGCAGTATCCCCAGTGTTTCCTGTGGTGTCCAAGATTTAGCAAAGCACTGAATGTATGTTTGTTAAATGAGTGAATGCTTATATTCTTAGGTTAGTGCTGGGTTGGATGAATAACAGGATAATAATTTATTGAGGATTTTCTATGTGCCAAGTACTAGACTGTGTGCCCTGTTCACATTTGTGTGTGTGTGTGTGTGTTTCTATGTGTGTGAGAGAGAATTCTTTCAACTCTGCAACAAGAATCATTACTTCATTTAACAGAAGAACAAACTATTAGAGGTTTATGTCACTCTTCCAGTGTTGAAATAAACTAACTATAAAGTGACTGAGCCAGAATTTGAATCCAGGCTTTTAACAGCTCCAGTATTGAGAGACAAGAACTTTAGCTTTCAAAATCCTATTTCTTCTTTCACTATATTGATTAGTAACTTCATAATTTACCTGTTTCTCTCGAACTTCAACTCCAGACTCATATTTGATTTCTCCTATTCATCTCATGTAGTTATTCATCTAGTCTTGTTATTTCTACCTTTGCAATGACTCTTGCTCCAATTACCACTCTACCCCACTGCCTCTGTTCCCAATTATTTCTTTTTCTTTTCTTTGGTACCAGGTATTGAACCCAGGGACACTTAACAACTGAGACACATCCCCAGGCCTTTTTGTTTTTATATATATTTTTTGAGACAAGTTCTCACTAAATGCTGAGTTTTTTAGGGTCTTGGTAAGTTGCTGAGGCTTGCCTCGAACTTGGGATCCTTCTGCCTCAGTCTCCTGAGTTGCTGGGATTACAGGTGTGCACCCAGCTCACCCCCAGTTTATTTCCTCTTTTTGGCCATGTTTTGAGTTCCACACGATCAAGGACTATATCTTTCTTGATATCCAAAGCATCTGATACATTGAGTTTCAGCACACACCTGTGTCTTCCCAACTAGAATGTTTGCTACATAACAGAGTCCTTTTCCTATTCCCCATTGTATTGCAAACACATTCAGGATAGTACTTAGCATGTGCTTTACTAAATAAACAAACGGGGGAATAAATCTATTTTATTCTAAAAGTGGTATCAAAAGGATCCAGGTATCAGCAGACTGAGTTCAGGTTATTTCCATTCTCCCATTTAGATATATTGAATACCTGATATTTTCCAGGAGCAGACTAAATCTCAGCTTTCATAGAACTCACATTCTAGTGAGTACAGAAAGATAGTGAGCCAAAAAAAATAGTTGGCACATTAGATGAGTTTCGTGGAGAAAAAGGAAACAGAGCCTGGGTTTTGGGAGTGCTGGCAGAGGGGCCTGCAATGTTAAGTGAGAAAATCAGGAATGAATTTCACTTAAGCAGGTGGTCCTTGGACAGGGATCCACAAGAGGTGAGGGCCTATGGACACCTGGGAAAAGAGTTGTAGGTGAGGGAACAGTAGTGAAGGCGCAGAAGTGGGTGCACAACTGGTCTATTAAAAGAACAGTCAGGCTGGGCATGGTGGCACATGCCTGTAATTCCAGTAGCTTAGGAGGCTGAGACAGGAGGATTGCAAGTTCAAAGCCAGCTTCAACAGTGGCGCGGTGCTTAGCAGTTCAGTGAGACCCTGTCTCTAAATAAAATACAAAATAGGGCTGGGAATGTGGCTCATTGACTGAGTGCCCCTGAGTTCAATCCCTGGCACCCTCCTACCCCCCAAAAAAAGAACAGTCGAGGGCTGTAATTGTTACTCAGCAGTAGAGCACTCATCTAGTATGTGTGAGGCACTGGGTTTGATCCTCAACACCACATAAAATTAAATAAATAAAGATATTGTGTTCAACTACAACTAAAGAAAATTTATATATATATAAAAGAACAGTCAGGAGGCCACAGGGGTCTTAGTGGAGTGAGGAAGAAGAAGAAACAGGAACTCGATTTTTGGGAGGCCAGACAGTGTAGGGTTTTTTGGCCATCGTAAGGTCTTTGGTGAAAGATTTTTGAGAGAAGTAAAGGCTTTGGCTGGAGAAGTAACATGACTTCAAAAATGACTGACTGCTGTGTAGGAAGTGGACTGTGAGGGGCCGGCAGCAGAAGCAGATAGACCAAGTTGCAGGCCAGCGGGGTCATTCAGGCAAGGGAGGGTGGTGATTTTGTAGATGGTCATAAAAGAATGTCAGATTCTGGTTCTGATTTAAAGGTATTTGGTGATTAATTGAATGTGAAGTGTGAGACAGAGACCTCAAGGATCACTCCAGATTATTGGCCTGCTCATTTGAAAGGGAGAAGTACCTCTAGAAGCAACTCTGGAGATTGGTTTTAGCCATGTTAAGTTTGAGGTGCCTTTTAGATACACAGGTGGGCATTGAGACACCAACCTGTAGATGATATTTGAAGCCATAAGGTGAGATGTGATTACCTCGAGAGTGAATGTACACAGATGGAGAAGATTTCATCAACTCAATCTAGAGGCAGTCCTGACTAGTAGAGATCACGGATATGAAGAAAAATCACAAGGAGATTTTTGTAAAACTGGGAGCTTCAGGGAACCATGAAAATTAGCCAGTCATAGGAAGCTGGGTCAACTTAGCAAGTGCTACTTGAAAATATGGTCTCTGGACCAGTTTTGTCAAATCACCCTGGAAACTTGTTAGAAATTCAGATTTTGGGGCTCCATGCAGGGCCACCAAATCAGAATCTTTGCAGTCGAATTCCTGCAATCTGTTTTTGTAATCATGATGATTATTAAACGTGAAGTTTATAAAGCGCAGTCCTACAGGTTCCTGAGTATGTGAGTTTCAGTGACATTGGCATGGAGGTCCTGTTGTAGATCCGGACTATGCTCTTCCCTTTGTCCTCTGTGAAGGAAGGAAGGTAGCCGTATTCCATACTTGCTTCTGAACAATTCCTGGAAATATGTCAGAGCATGAACAATCAGAAAGGTGCTCCTTAGAGTAGGCTGAGCGAAGGCCTGATACAGATGGTTAGAATAAAGGTGGAGGTTTGAGCTCCTGAAGTGGTCAAATTCAGGGAGTCTCTTAGAGTGGACAGCCCAAATATGTGGATCTGTTCATCTGAACTTGTCCTTGAGGTTTGAATTTTGAGAGAAAACAGGTCAGGCAAAGAGGTAAGGGAGGGGCCTCATGCTCAGTGTCTGCATTGCAAACTGGCCAGCCCCAAGCTGGTTCTAAAAGTTCTGTTGACCTCCATGTCATATCCTGTGGATGGAATTGCTTAAGTGAATTCAACATGACAGACCCATGTAAGGGAGAGAAGGCAAATAAAGCAAGACAATCCAATCCCCTGGATGATAAAATACTTAAAAGGAGTGGCTATGTGGAAGGTGATAACCATCAATTTAAACAAGGTGTTACTAGATCCCAGAGTGACAGTTGATTCTGGTGGTGTCAGGAGATATTTCACTTGGAAAAGGAGTTGTTGAACTGAAGTCCATGGGTATATAACTCAATGTGTTCATGAAATTGAGCAGGAAAAGAAGGTACATGGTTTAATTGAAGATTATTTTTTTCTTTAATTATGATTGCAGGTAATAAACTATATAGTATTAGCAATACCTGTGATTTTGTTAACCATCTAAATCATAAAGATATTTATATCATTCTCTAGTTTCAGATATTTTAAACCATTGTTCAGACTCATTACTTTTGAAATTAATTTGTTCTTCATATTTAATGTGCTGATGAAGCACATACTTGGTGCTTTAATACTTTTGAAGGTTGTATTTCAATATTAGCTTTTTAAAGAATTCTGTGTATTTCATTTTATGCATTTAAAACATTTTTTTTCTGAGAAGTCCATGAGTATTACCAGACTACCAAGGGGATCATGGCACCAAAAAGGTTTAAAACTCTAATTTAGAAGGCAGTGACTAATCTGTATCCTGAATTTTAGGATCCTTTTGAGGATCAGGGTGTATTTTATTTTTTATAAGCCCCACAATATTGCATTAATAAAGCTTTTACATTCTCAGTTTTTCTTCAAAGGACATAGGTTCCATATGTTCGCAGGATCTCCCAGCCTTCTGATGGGGCCCTAGGCCTCACAGTTGCTAGACCTTCCCAGTGACATATTTGGAACTATCCTCAGCCATCTGCAGCATTCTGGGCCCCTTGGACTATGAGCCACTGCTCCCCGCCCCAGCAGGGACTGTACGTCACAGCTTCTCAGCAGATGTCCTGGAGCCTACTGAATGAGTAGTTCCCTGAGGTGCCCTACTGGGGAGCCTAAGCTTTGGGGCCCAGAGGAAAGGACTCAGACAAGGTATAAAATTCCCTTTTGAGCCCACAGGTCCCCAGAGCCTGGGGACCAATCAGGTACTCTGCCTTCAAATGTCTGCTGGACCAGCTTGGTCAGAGTTTGGAGAAACCCAGGAATGAAGAAGGCCTGGGTCTTCTGTTTCCCCAGTTTAGGAAGATGAGAGAATAAATAAAATCGTTGCTGCTCCGAGAAAACCTAGGAAAAGAGACCATGGAGATTTTGACCTCCTGCCATGAGGAAAAGGGTGAGAAAAAATTAAGGGGTGGGGAAGGGAGAATTCCAGCTGGGTGTGGAGGGAAAATTAAGTGAATGGGGAGTCGCCTGGGTTGGGAAGAAGCCAGTCTGTGAAGTGGCACCTCCCCAGGTGCCTGCGGAGTCTGGGAGGTTGAGGCAGACACCAGCCTGCTCCCCTCTCTTCCTGCAGCTCTTCCTTCTCAAGCCCCAGCCCTTTCCCAAGACAGCAAAGACCAGAGCAAGTTCCAGGTGGGTTGAGTTTTCTTTTCTTTCAGGAATACCCCCTCAGGCATCAGAAAGTAAACCTATCTCCCTCCCTTGGTTAAAGGAAAAAGAAAAAAATTGTTGGGTGAGTACACCTCATTTCTCATTGCATTTGTCCACAAGCAACTATGTGAGAGAGACGGTATGATCCTGTTTTAGAGATGAAGAAATGAGTGGTGAATCTTGGAATAATTGAACCCAGGTTAGAATGACTCCGTCATCTGCCTCTGAACTACAATAATAGTTTCATGGTGGGGCCTGAGAGGCAACTCTCCAAATAACAGGTCCTGCTTCTCTGCCTGGGTTCTTCTCTCTGGGATGTTTCTCTTATTCATTTATAGATATAATAATCTCCATGGGTTTTAGTCAGCTTTTGTTTTGCTGTGACCAGAATACCTGACAAGAACAACTTAGAGGAGGGAAAGTTTATTTAGGGCTCACAGTTTCAGAGGTCTCAATCCATAGATGGATGACTCCATTGCTCTGGGCTCAAGGTGAGCCAGCACATCATGTGGGAAGGGGCCAGCAGAGGAAAGCTGCTCAGATCATGGCAGGTTCAGGAAGCAGAAAGGGGTGCTACAGGGATTGGCAGGAAGAACAACCCTCCTCCAGCCATTCCCTACCTGTCTGCAGTTACCAACAGTCAGTCCATTCAAAGTAGGATGGACGATTAGGCTACAGTTCTGATAATGTGATCATCTTACCTCTAAATTATATCTGCATTAACAGGAATAATTTAAGTGTCCCCTTGTGGGGGGACACCTCATATCTAAACCATAGCACCATGTAATATCTGCTACCAAAAAATACCCCATGAACAGTTAAAAGACAACATATTGGGGCAAAAAATATTTCATCTACAACAAGGTTTTAATATTCTCATTTTTAAAAGATGGGTAAAAATAAACACCTAAGCATTTTTGTTTAGGAATGAAGAAAAAGAGAAAAACAAATGATCAATAATCATGAAAATATGATCAGCTCTCATTAATTAGAGTGATGCCAGATTGAAGCAAGGTGTGATTCTTTTCCTAGCAGGTGGCCTAAGATTTGAAAGACCAGTCTTCACCGTGTGGAGTGTGGAGAAACAGGTGCATCTGCACAATAGCTGGGTCATTTCAGCCTTTCTCTAGTCCAGATTTCCCGTTCTAAGAATTTATTTTACAGAGTGATTGCTGAAGCATTCTTTATAACAGATTAAAAAAAAACTTGGTAGGAGGGACTCTGTGTTCATGCATTGTGTTGGTGGTGCATTATGGTTTTATTCATCTGTCACCTAGATCCTAAGCTGCTATCAAGGGAGGTAAAATATATGAAAATATTAGGATGTGGAAATATGCTTTATTCTGGTCAGTTTTTCCAGAAAGTTCTTTTGTGTTTATGGTTGGCTGTGTGTCATTTTCATGGATCACACTCTATTTCATTTGATGTTTTCTTCTGTTAATAAGTTCTTTTTCTGCCTAGATGTCTATTATTACTACTTTACTTATTCACTTCTCTTTAAACTCCCGTTAAATAGAGAATATAACTTCTGGATCTATCTTACCTGTTCTTTAACTTTTTTTTTTTTTGCAATTTTTCCATTGTGCTCTAGGAGCCCAGGAGCCTGCCCTGCTTCTCCCCCCACTTTTTTTTTTTTTTGTCCCAGTGATTGAACTCAGGGGCATTTGACCACTGAGCCACATCCCATACCTACTTTTTATTTTATTTAGAGACAGGGTCTCACTGAGTTGCTTAGCAACTTGCCGTTGCTGAAGCTGGCTTTGAACTTGTGATCTTCCTGCTTCAAACTCCCGAGCCACTGGGATTACAGGTGTGTGGCACCACACAGGGCCGTGCTTTCCATTTCATTGGCTTGGTGTTCATTCATTCTGCTGTTTAGTTATCTCTTGAGTTCTTTTTACCCTATTCATAGCAGAATCTTTAAAAAATATTTTATTATACATGAACACAATATCTTTATTTGTTTATTCAGTTTTATTCATGGCAGAAGAGCATGGCAAGGAAGGCAGCTCTGGAGATGGTGACCAAGAAGCAGAGAAAGTGAGGGGGGAGCCAGGAGAATAAGATATAATCCCCAAGGACAGGCCCCCATGATTTACTCTCCACCTCCCCACAGTTACCACCCAGAAGTCCATTCAAATTAGGACAGACTGATTAGATTACATCTCATAATCTGATCATTTTACCTCTGAATATTAGCGCAGGAGTTTTTTTGGGGGGCAACTCATATCCAAATCATAACACAATTCATGTTCTTCCTATTTTCAATTCCAAGGTGTCTTAGTACTAAACACTTTGGCCAATATGATTGAAGAGGGTGTGTGGCTGAGATCTATTGTATTTTACAGTTCCCTGGATAGTAAGTGTGATAAGCACCTTGTCGTGTTTATTGGCAGGTCTGTATCTGTATTTTCTCTTCTCTGATATCTATTGAAATGCTTTTGCTCATTTTTTTACTTATTCATTATCACAGTTTCAGTGGCTCTTTCAATAGCAGGGTTGATAACAAACGTATCAAAAGTGAAAAGTTGTTTATTAGGTTGTAATTGAAATTATTGGCACCAAACATTAATAAACTTGATTTGACTTGCCAAATTGAACAAGTTTCTGTTTTCTTGTCTCCTTGGTGATCCCAAATTTATCTCTGTATAGTGAATGTTTGTGTTCATGATGCTTCTTCACATTTTAGGAGCCCTTGACCCTCAAGGATGTGGCTGTGGTCTTCACCCAGGAGGAGCTGGGGCTGTTGGACTCTGCCCAGAGGAAGCTGTACCAAGATGTGATGCTGGAGAACTTTAGGAACCTGGTGTCTGTGGGTGAGGGGAACTTCTGTGGGTAATTGACACGAGTTTATTGCTGTGTTCTTATTCCCTGGAAGGAAGATGTTTATGGTCTTTAAATCCTTTTTAAAATAAAACTTAGTTTGGGCCTGTAACAAACTGCTGTGAGACTGGGTGACTTATAAACAATAGACACTTACTGCTCACAGTTCCAGAGTCTGGAGTCTGGGATCAGGATGCCTGCATGGTTCAGCTTTGGGTGAGGGTCCTCTTCCATGTTGCAAAGTGCCAAGTTCTCATAGTATTTTCACATGACAAAAAGGGGTAAGGGAGTTTTCTGGATCTTTCTGAGGGCACTTAGTTCTATTTATGAGGGTTCCACCTTTACACCCTTATGACCCAGTTACCTCCCCCAATCTCACCTCCTAATACCATCCCACTGGGGTTTAGGATTTCAGCATGAGCTTTAGAAGGACAAAGACATTTAGTCCACTGCACTGTTACAAAGCAGTTTAAAAAAATTTTTTTTGTAGTTATAGATGGACAGCATGCCTTTATTTTATTTATTTTTTATGTGGTGCTGAGGACTGAACCTAGTTCCTCACACGTGCAAAGCAAGCACTCTGCCACTGAGCTACAGCCCCAGCCCCATAAAACAGTTTTATTTGGCCAATCCAGTCCTGAATATTTCCCTTGTTTACCCTTCAGAGGCCTGAAGTTCATGGGATTAGGATTGCATTTTCAGATTATTGTTTGCTTCGCCAAAATGTACCTAAGCCTTACATCTTTTCAGTGCAACAACCTTTTAAATCTGAGAAATTATCACATGTGAACAAGACAGGGAGACCTGGGCAATGGATAGAGAGACTCCAAGAGATGCATATTTAGGTGAGAACAAGAAGCCTAGAGCTCTTGGAGATAGCATCCTGGCTAGGCGTGGGTGGGCAAGCAGGTGATGGCCCTATGGCTTCACTTATCCTACTCACTTCCTCTCTTCAGGGAATGGCAGCTCAGAGTGGATCAACAATCTCTGGACTTTCTTGACTCTGATAGAAACAGCCAGACATTATAAGGCAAGTCAGAGGCAGAGAGACCATTATAAAATATTGAGAGTTCTCTGATGTATTTCTCATTTGATTCTAGTACTGTACAAGTCCCTGGTTATAAAATTCTTGTTACCTGAACCCTAAAAGATTTTTAAAAAATAATGTCAGAAAACCTGGGCAAATTTTTAAAATCACCTGGGACTGTTTGGTAAATATGACAGTCAGATAGCTCACATGCAATAACAGGCACATGTTGATTATTTTGTGTCTTCGTGCCCTGATGGTACTGTGTGGAGTCCTTATTAGCCGCCTTAGAGGGTGTGTGGCTGGTGCACTTTGCAAGATTTAGTGCTTTGTTCCCTCCCCAGTTTCACTCACATGACCAAATTTAGAGTTACCCCCAGGAGGCAGTGTAGGGAGAACCCCTAGTGAGGCTCTGAAGCCATACTTCCAGTGCCATCTCCATCACTTCTCCAAACTATGGTGGAGTCATGTGCTAGGCTATGAACCCTTTCTTTGCTGAGTGTTGGCTTCCTCATCTGTAAAAGCAAGATCATATGGGTTCCTAGTTTGTGTTCTTGGGAGGATTCAGTAAGTCAATGCATAATGATGAGGAAGTTTTTCAGCTAACATGTTAAATGCAAGAGAAATTTAACTAGGTGTCCTGCAATTAGGCAATACATTTTTTAAAGGTGTTTTTAGTTGTTAATGGACCTTTATTTTATTTATTTATTTATATGTGGTGCTGAGAATCGAACCCAGTGCCTCACACATAGGCAAGCGTTCTACCACTGAACCACAACCCCAGCCCCAGTCAATAAAATTTATCAAATAAAACTAACACTGAAGCAAGCAACAACTTATAGGAGACCAACAGTGTTGATTGTCAAAAGCAAATTGATCCAGGCTTCTCAGTATTGAATGATAATGGGTTTTTAGAGGACACTCTTTTATGTTAGCGTCCTTTCAAAATTGTGATTTACTTCAGGATTATTTGAATATGGATTGGAATAAACTATGTATTTTTCAATAAATGGGAATTTAAATAGGATACAGATTAGATAAAACCAAGGTTTTAATTTGGTTTCAAGGTAATGAGGGTTTTACGTTTAGGCAGGAAAATAATTGGGATTTTTTTGTTAGTTTTTGTAGTACTGGGGACTGAACCTAAAGACATATCTCTAGCCCTTCTTTTTTTAAACACATACAAATTTTATTTTAAATAAACTTTAGAATCAGAATTAAATTGATAAATGAAGTCATTTGTTGTAAAAGTGTTATTTTTACATCCATCTTGGAGAAATATTATTTCAAACTAAAAAAGTAGAAGCATATCATTTGCCAGTATTTTAAAAAACATGTTAATATACAAATTAGTTTTAAAGTTCTTGAAAAGTAAGGAGAAAGCAAATAATTCATTTTTCTCCATTTTGTACTATTACTACAACAACCTTTAAAGACACAATATTAGTGAATTTTGGACAATGAAATCTACAAAGCCAGACTGCTGGCAGAGGAAACAACAAACTGTAAGTTAAAAGATTCATAAACAAGCATTTATTCAGGAAATACAATTACTAGAGTCCTTGATATTTCAATGATCATTCCACATTATAAAATATTCACAACACATATTCTTTTAAGTCTATACCAAGTCATGCTGACATTCTTTCGAGGTAAACCATAACTGTTTCTTCTACTAAATGCTATAATATCCATGTTAGTTGTAAACAAAGTACTTGAGTCAAACTACTTAAGTACTTGAACAAGAAAAAATTAAAAATAAAAAAACCTAAAAATTTAGAAGAGGAGGAAAATGATAAAACAAACAAACAAACCTCACCCCACGTATCTGAAACAGCAAACTTTTAATGAGCCCACTGTAATCTAGTATTACAGTAAAGGATAAAGTGACCATATTAAAACAGCATGTAATTATCAATGACAATACTTCTCATCTGTAATTTTTAAGTATGCTTTTTCAAATACATAAACACTATTTTTGTAAGTTTTAAAGGCAAATGGGGAAGAAAGATAAAACATTAAAAGTTAAACTACTAGACTTTTTTTTTTTGAGAGAGAGAATTTTAATATTTATTTTTTAGTGTTTGGCGGACACAACATCTTTGTTTGTATGTGGTGCTGAGGATCGAACCCGGGCCGCACACATGCCAGGCGAGCGTGCTACCGCTTGAGCCACATGCCCAGCCCCACTACTAGACTTTTTAAAAAAGAAAAAATTACTTTCCAATTAAGAAATGCCAAGTACTTTTTATTCCTAAAGAAATTACTAAGAAATGTAATCAATCACCAAGTAGCTACAAATTGAAGTATTCTATTCTGATACTTGCAAACAAAACTATTGGTTCTCAACCCTGGATGTCCAGTAGAGCCCTCTGGAATGTGTTTTAAAAATGAGTGATCCTGATTTAGTTGTTATGGGAGGGGACCCAGGCATCAATATTTTTTGAGCTTTGCAGGGTATTTTAATATGCAACTAAGGTTGAGAATCAGAGTCAACTCATTTTGAAGTAATAAGAAAATTAAAGGAAAATATGGAGGGGGGATGGTTAACATTTGCAATTTATAAATCAAGCACTAATTATATACTTACTATCTGCCTAACTTTATTCACATACCATCACATACCAGACCACCTTTGTACATTTTTGCTCCTGAATGAACTATTCTATGGTCAAGATTTAAAATTCTGAAATATACTATGAAAACTACATTAATGAAAACAAACTATTGTACTCATGCTCAATAGTACCAAGCAAAATCACTGTATTTGGCTCCTTAAGCAGTCTTTATTGTAAAAATTACAAATAGGTGCCAGCCCACACAAAGAACAGATTGTGGATTACTGCAAAAGGAAAAAAAAAACCCAGCTTACTTAATTTACTGAGTTTCAACACTTAAAAAGATTTAGCTTGGCTGAAAGTTCTGAAAGAGCTGAGACATTCAACCAGGAAGCTAAAATTTATAAGGAAATGTTGATGTATCCTAAAAGCTATTGTAGCTGTATTAAAATAAGATTTCTTCTGGGTTTATTTACCCTGTAATGCAAGAATACAAGCATAGCAATAATATTACTGTTTTTATATGCACCAATACTTCTCTTTAATGTATAAAGCTTTATAAACAAATACCTCTAATAATTTTACAATTAAATTAAGTCCATAATTATTCTATCCTACTTTGGTCCCAAACTTTAAAAACACATCAATTAATTTTGAAAATAATTAATTTTGATAAATAATAATGCTGATTGACTTATATTCTGAAAAATTCACTGAAAACTGGAATAATCTTTTAAGACTCACATTGCTCACAAACATGCAAAAAAAGATATATAAATTTCTACTCTTCCTAAAGAATTACAATGCCCCTTTTTAAATATCAGATCAATAATTATGCCAAATTCTTGTTTTTTTCCAATCCATTATCTTCTTTATAGCATGTCATTCACAATTTTTTGAAAAGTTCAAATGTTCTTATGAGCTGTGACTGCAAATGAACTATTTAGTTTCAGCTTTTATGAAGACTTCAGTCACAGGCATATACTAATAGCTGCCATTTAGTAAAATAGTGACATCCAGGGGCCAAATGACATAAAGTAACTGTCGGGGCGCCCTGAACAGGAGTTACGCACACATCTTTAAGTCCTGAGCAAGGAGGTACTGGACTGGCACTGCACCCACTGCAATGCATGTGGACTTGCCTCTGCTGGGATACAAGGGTGCAACTTTGGGACTGGGCATCACCCAATGGGGTTGAATTACACCCCCCTGTTTGTTGTTTGGCTAGAATGTTCCATGGAATAGCTCCCCTCTCTCACCAGCCTCCAATTTTCTCTCACCCCCTCCCCTTTCTCTCGCTCTTCCTTGGGGAGCTTGTGGCTGGAGGTGGGGAAGCCATCCTGATGCCCAGAAAAAGGCATTTTCTGGGTCTGCATGGTCATTTTGTGTCACCCCCACATTCAGCCAAGTGACCCCACTTCAGTAGCCCATGCTGGATGGGGCTACAAGTAACTTTAAAAATTTCCACTAATCCAACCATTTTAATATGAATGAATTTCTACACATTCGTAACAAGTCACTTCATAG